GGAGGTGCCCGGGCAGCGCCGGGAAAGGCAGGATGAGCCAAAGGGAAATAAGGGGGGACGCSGGCGAGGGTAGCGGGCGGCCTGTCCGGCCGCGGAGCCCGCTGGCCCCGGTGCCCGCGTCCCCTCGCCGCGGTGCCAGCCCGGGCGAGGCGGTGGCCGCGCGCCAGCGAGCGCCGCAGCTCCCGGGGCCGTGACCCACATTCGCCCGCGCTGTCACAGCGGAGCGGAGCCGGAGCCGCCGCGGAGCCCCGCGTGCTGCGAGGCCGGGCGGAGACCGGAACGCCGCGCTGGGCACCCCCGGGCTGGTGCCTCGGAGCGGGGCGCTGAGCCCGGCACCTGGCAGCGCCCGGCTCTTGGCCGGGCTGGGCGGCCGGGCGCGGGAGCAGGGGCGGTTGCCGGCCGCCCCTTGGCGTGTGAGCGGGACCYGGAGGGCCCTGGAAAGTGACAGGTCCCCTGCGCCGGGCCGGGATGCAGCCCGTGAGGCACCTGAGCAGGACCGCAGGTCTGAGGCGCCCCGGGAGGCCCCTGCCRAGGCCCGCGGCGGCAGCGGGCGCCGTGCGGCCGCTGGGGCGGTGGCAGCAGCGAGGGGGATGTGCGGGGTCAGGGTGATGGCAGCAGCGAGGGGGCTGTGCGGGCTCRGCCACGCCGTGGCCTTGTCTCGGGCGGGAGCTGCAGGTTGCCCGCACATGGCGAAGAGGCTTTGGGTTGTGCAGGGGCCATGGCCGGGGGGTGACAGCCCCGCTGAGCTGGATGCAGCGGCTGCCGAGCCTGGGTGAGGAGTGTCCTGGAGGGCACGGGGGGCCACAGGCCGCGCTGGCAGCAGCAGGGCAGGGGTCTGTCCCCGCGCAGCGCCCGGCTGCAGAGCGGGGAGCAGGGCCCGTGTGGACAGCAGCACCCGGCGCACGCAGGGCCCCGAGCCCGCTGCCGGCCAGGGCCGAGGAGCCCGGCACCCGCGTCGCACAAGGGGCCGGGCGGGTGCAAGGAGCCGGGTGCCCGTGTGGCACAAGGGGCCGGGCAGGTGCCTCTCGCGGCGTTTGTCTTTGCAGATCCCAAACGCAAGATGCCGCCGGTGCTGATGGAAGAGTTTTAGGAGGGAGATGATGACAGGCTGATGAAAACCAATCAAACAATGAAGTAATCATAAATCCCCGGTGCCAGCAGCAAGGCTCGGAGGACGCGGGAGGAGCTGGAGGATGAAGCAGCGGAGGTACTAACAAAGCTGTGCCATTGATCCTGAAAATCCTGGGAAGGCAAAGCGTTGAACGGCAGCCAACGTCCCAGCAGCCGCTTTTGTTCTTTTTTTTTTYYTTTTWAWWAAAAAAAAAACAAGGAGAAAAGGAGCTGTGCTAAACCCTGAGCTTGGAAATGAGGGCAGGGAAAATGGGAACAAAAGCTGCAGGCGAGCGGCGTGCAGGGCCCCGAGGAGCCGTCACGGGAAAGCAGCGGGCTGCGCCCTGCCCCGCGGAGCCCCGCGCCGCAGCTGCCAGGCGGGCGCCCGCTGCAGCTGCCCCACATTTCTCGGAGGGGCCGTCGCCGAGAGCCGAGGCACCGGCTGGAGCTGGAGAAGCCGTTTGGGGCCGACGAGAGGTGGGTTTCTCGCCAAAGGGCATCTATGGATGGGTGCAACGATGCCGGGTGCTGCCCGCAGCTGAGGAGCTCCCGCAGGAAGGATCCGCTGGTGGCTGGAAGCGCCCGCCTGTGCGCCCACCCCGGCTCCAGGGCCGCCAGTCCTCATCTCACGTTTGATTCTGGGCCGTCTGCACTGGCCAGGCCAGAAGCTGCTGTGAGGAACTCTGGATATGGGGCAGTTCAGTGACAGTCTCCATGCGGAGGGGTGTCCGAGGGTCCTTGTCCTCTGCTGCCACCTGCACTGGCAGCACTGGGTGGGCGCTGGCACTGCCGAGGAGCCGCCCGCTTCATGGGCCGTGCTGGTGCCAGATGCCGTGAGTGCCACTCGAGCACAGCCCGGAGCCTTCGCTCCATGACGGAGCCAGCGGGAGAAGACAAATCTGCAGCTCTGGGAAGGTCCTTGGAAGACACCGTGTTTCGTGGGCAGCTGCGAAGGTCCCTGCTGGGGGAAGGTCAAGGGCGTTGCGATGCTCAAACACAACAGCGCTCTGGCCGGGAAGGAGAAGCGGGTCACGGGCTGCGAGGCGGCCTCCAGCAGGCTTCGGGCCACGGGGCTTCAGCTCTGGGCCTGCGCTGGCCCCCCGGGCGGTTTGCTGAAGCTGCGGCTGGTTCATCCGAGCCTGGCTGTCACGGGAGCCTCAGCGAGGAGCGCACACCTTGCCACACCACTCAGGATTTTCAAGGACGTTTGCACGGGATGTTCAGGTCGTTGTTTGGGACAAGGAGGAAACRTGGCTCTGTGAGAAGCAAGAGGCAGGGGAGGTCCTGCCTCGCTCCCGGCCTCTGCATGCGGTGGCAGCTCCTTGCCCTGCAATGCAGGGTGCGCGATGGGCTGGGCTGGGTGTCCCCAGGGCACCCGGCTGACATTCCCAGCGCGCGCGGTGGCTCCTCGGCGCGCAGCCGGCCACCACGGTGGCACCCCAGGAAGCGCCGCCAATGGCCCCGCTGCGGTCACGGGGCTCCGCGCGGGCCATCAGTGTTGTGTATTCAGCAGAGAGCGCCTCGTACGGGACCAGGGTGGGAGCCAGTGGAGGGAGGTGCAGGGGTGCAAGGCCGACASTGGGTGCTGTTGGATGCCCTGTGCTCGCCCGGGCACACACAGTACCCTGAGCACAGYGAGGCCGGCACCGGGCGCTGTGCGGTGGCCAGGGTGAGGGCAGCTCGTGTCCGGGCCGCAGCTGCTGGCTGCTCCGCTTGCAGTGCTGGGTTTGGGGGTGCAGTGGTTTTCCCGAGCACCGCATCCACGCAGGCGTGCACACAGAGGCAGCCGCGCGTGGCCTCAGGGCTCATGGCCCTCGTGCTGGAGGAGCCAGTGGGTTTTAGCAGCCGCTCCGGGCACTTGGCAGCTCCCCTCGGCTGCGGGCGCATCCGGGGCGCCGGGAGCGGCGCGCACTCCAGGCGAGGCGGGAAGCGGCGCCGCTCGCTCAAGGTCACCCAGCCGCCTCTGGCGGAGCGTTCGACTAGGCTGGCAAATCCGCGGAGCTCTTGTGCTGCCGCGGCTCTTTATTTATTTATTTGTTTGTTTGTGTGTGTGTTGCGATCCGTCTCCTGTGCCGTGTCAGGGCGCAAAGCACCGAGGTGGCCGCCAGCTCCACCCAGCCCCACTCGGCACTGTCYCCGCGTGGCTGGGCGCACGGGACAGACATCGCTCCCAGTGCCTGGGATGCTGCGAGCCCCGTGCCCGGGCAGGGAGCTGCCGCCTCGGGCACGATCACGGCCGTATCACGGCCTGGCCTCTCGTTTCGGAGGCCGCGTTGCGAGGCYGTGGCGGTCGAGCCGCACGGAGCGCTCAGTGATGCAAAATGGTTTCTAGGTCCTGCAGCTGCCCCTGCTCCTGAGGCGGAGAGCTCAGCGCTTGCTCTGAGTGACTTTGGCAGCTCAGCTCGCAGCTGGAGAGCAGTGGGGAGCGGGGGGTTCCGAAGCCTGTCGGTGCAGGGCCCCCTTCTGCTGGTGACCTACGGGAACTGGGTGCCTCACGCTGCGGCTGGAGCCCAGGGCTGCGGAGCTGGGACCTTGGCACACAGCGAGGGCACGGGGCTGGTGCCTGGTTTTCCCTTAGCTTCATTCCCTGCCCACCTGGGCTCTGCTTCAAAGGGAGATGCCCAGCACGAGCTGCTCTCGGGTTCAGGATGCTGCCCATGGAGAGGCTGCAGCAGCTGCTCTGCCAAAGCCAGGAGGTCATCGTGGAGGTGATGGTGTTTGGTGGTTGTTGTTGGCCGTGGTGGTGGTGCTGGTGGTTTTTGGTGGTGGTCATGGTGGCTGTTGTTGGTAGCTCCCCGGGAGCCGCTGTTGCTGCTTGGTTGTGGCTGCCCGTTGCTCACCTCCAGGCAGGGGCTGGCTCTGCTTTGGTCCGTTTCTGGAGGGGGCAGCACCRATGCTGCCCCAGGGCTGCCCGCGCAGGGTTTCTCGCAAGGCCCGTGCAGGTGGGTCCAGGCGGCAGCGGGCAGAGCCCTGCRGCTGTCCCTCATGTGCTGGGGGCTCGTGCTGCCTTGGGAAGTGATGAACCCGTGAGAAGTGATGATCCCATGGGAAGCGGGGTGCTGTTGGGCAGAGCTGCGACAGCCGCCGCTATCCCGGGCGGTCTAGGCGGCCGCTTCCTCTCTTTGTGCCTCAGTTTCCTCCAGCCAGGGAGCGGGGACGCGGGGACCTCCGCTCTGCTCCGCAGGGCCCCACTCCCGAGGCCTTGGGGCCTGCAGCCTGCYGGGGGACAGTGCCACCTCCGTCACCCGCTGGGAACTCCTTTCGCTTGTGCCACAGGCCAAAGCCCTGGAGGACCTGGGTGCGGGTGCGATGCGCCGGGCCCTGCTGAGCTCGGTGCGCGGTGCAGCCGCTGCACAGCCACAGTGGCRGGGGCTGCACTGGCCCCCTGCCCGCTGCTCCCAATTCCGCCCCCACACGCAGGCTCCAGCAATAGCTCTGCCCCCGGATTGCTGTGGTTTGTTTGTTCCCCTTCCTCTTCCCTTTCCTCCTTGCCCCGGTGCAGCCTGGAGCCGGARCCAGGCCGGCTCTGCCTTTTCCCTGTGCCCCAGCTGGACACTGGCCTGTCCCTGCTCTCCCCGCAGGTCGTGGTCAAGGGGACATGAGCAGCGCGGACCCCACATCCCCTCAGCGGGTGCTGCTGGGCACCAACTCGCTGCCGCCATCCGGGCTGCGGGCCCRGCCCCGAATCCTTCCACTCCATTTAGTAGCTGGCTCCCTTCCCCGCTCTCTAGTTCTGCGCCTGTGGCTGGAGGGGTTTCTCTTTCCCTTCCTTCTCCTCCTGCTTTGCCAGCGCCTCCGCACGCCGCTCTCCTCCGTGGCCTCTGCTCTCCTCGCTTTGCCACTGATGAGTTGCCAATTAGTTATTGGCAGCGCGGTGCCATGGCGGGCAGCGAGGAGCCGCGTGCCGTGCGCGGAGCTGCCCGCGCGGCCGCCGCGGAGAAATCCCAGCGCCCGGCAGGGTTCGGGGAGAGGAGAGGCAGCTGCCGCCGGGAGACAGAGCGGCTGTCTATAAATACCCGGCACGAGCAAGGAAGAAGTGGGTGGATTATCCTCCTTCCTCAATGAGATAAATGCTGCTTAAGCTTAAACAGAGAGCAATTTTCGGCTGAATAGTAGGGGGGAATAACTTCGGGACACGGCGGTGGCGGCACGAGCTGCCGGCAGGGAGCGACAGGCCACCCTCCCGGGCACCCCGGGCCGTTGATGCCCRTGGTGCTGCGTGGGCTGCCAGGTGCAGGAGTGGTGGCCAGAGGGACCTTCCCGTTGCACTCAGAGCCGAGGGTCCCTGACGATCCTCCTCACACTGCCGGCTGCTCTTGCGGCCCGTGCAAGGGGCTCTCCTCATCTGGGGGCCCTGCAGCCAAGCAAGAGGCGGCCACGGGGTACGTGGGGAGAGGATGGAGTGGAGCCGCGGTGCTGCCCGTGCCCTGCTGAGCGGGACCCCCTGCGCCCCATCCCATGCTGCTGACCCCAGTGTCCTTCCCACGGCGAAGAAAGGGGTCTGCAGAGGGCAAAAATACCGCATCCACCCAGTACCTGTGTCCTTTGCTTTCTGTGCTCTCCATTCTGCGCTCTCTGTGCTCTCCCTTCCCGCTGTGGGCGCCAGCAGGAGTCCCCATCACAGCCATCGCTGGGGCAGGTCAGGGCCAGGTCCTGGCTGCAGGGCACGAGGTCGACGTCTCTGTCCGTCCCTGTCTCTGTGTGCGCTCGGGAACTGCTGCCCTTCCCTCCCAAGCTCCCTTTCCAAGCTCTTTTTATGGCTCTTGTCAGAGCYGGGCAGAGAAAGGTCAGTGCATCTTGGCGAGGTTTCTGAGCTGGAACAAGAACAAGTGCTTGTAAAAGCTCCTTGGAGAAGRAACCTGGAGAAAAAAAATAAGTAAATAAATAAAGGAAAAGAAGGATCRGGATAGAGCCCTTATCTTTTGCAAAGGTTTCAAAATGCAATTAAACCCAGGTGGGTGAAWGGGAGCTGGGAAACTACAAGGCTGCTGAAAGTGGAGGCAGGTCCTGGAGCTGCTCATGCCCCCAGGCCCCTGGGTGCCCCCTCTCGCGGGGCTCGTGTGGAGCCTCCGTGGGGTTTCTGGGGAATTTAGTCCGCGTCTCTGCCACAGGGTTTCCATCTCGGTGCATTGGCAGAAGGTTGTGGCGGGGGCATTTCTGTCCTCTCCGCTCTGCTCCTGGCTGCCCTGTGGCTTTGCATTTACCTCCGCCGGGCGCTGGGGCCGGGAATGAAGCACCGCGACGGGAAGCGCTGGCCCCAGAGGGAGCGCCCGGGGGGAAAGCGGGTCCTGCCCYGTCCGCAAAGAGAAGAGGGCAGAAGAGCAGGCTGGAAGCGGGGGCGGCGGCCGCCTGTGGCAAAGGGCGCCCGTTTCTGCTGGGACCGTTTGTCCATTCTGGTCACGCGTGTGTGAAATCGGAAAGCGGCTTTAAGCAAAATGGCCCCGAAAACCCAACGAGCAGGAGGTGGCCCGATGTAGCCAAGGGAAAAAGCAAATACTCCTTGGCTCGGAGAGAGCTCCTTGACAGTGGGCAGCCCCTCCGCTGCCTCTCACCTCTATCCCCCCGGCATTAAAATGAGAACTTTGCTGACTTGAATAATTGTACTTCAACACAGGTTAATTAACAGACATTGACAAGCGTGATTGTAAATTCAAGTGTAGACATAATTCTTCCTGTAGGATACCGGGAGCTGTTTTTAGTCATGTATCCATTTAGCTTCTGCACTAATCCACCTCCACCTCCAATAACAAACCACTAAAATGGTGCTTCTCYTTAGGAAGGCCAATAAAACACTGTGGAGATGAGCTGCTCTGAAGATCCTATGAGTCAAGCTGATACATTTTTGGAACATCATGATGTTTAAGTTCCTTTTCTATTTTCTACCCAACTTCCCATGAAGAAAAAATTGAAATCAAGATCCATCCTGGGATGAAAGACAGCATGCAAAATGTTAGTGGCTTAGAGAAGCGAAGGGCACTTGGAGCTCAGGTTTAACCTGGTTGGARAACGTGTGAGAAGGTCTCCCTGGGCTCGCGCTGCTGACACACCTGGGTGAGGAGATCTTCACCCCTGGGCAGTGTCGCCCTGCTCGGTGCTCCGTGGGCGCCCAGCATCTTTCCTGGAAGTCTCTGGCACTAGTTTCTGCTGGAGACAGATGGGCTGTTCGCTTCGTGCCAGAGCAGTGGTTCCTGGGGCGGTTCCTGCTTGGGATTTATCACCGAGTCCCGCCGTGGAAGGGCCCTGATAGCGCTYGGGTGCTGCCCGTGCCGGCTGCCGCCCCGCGTCTCCCCGCAGCCCTGCAGCGCCCTGGCGTGTCCTGCAGGCTGAGGGGGAGCTCAAGCCTCCTGCCTTGTCACCGCCTTCGCTCCCAGCTACAAGTGGGGCTTTTTTGTTGTTCTTTTTTTATTTTTTTGGTGCGCTGCATTAGAAGTCTAAATATAAAGCGGCTCCCGCTCTGCTGTTATCCCATGATTTTTGTCAATCTGTTACAAACTAAGAAGCGGGCAGCTTCACCGGAGGAGAYGGGTTCTCTGCAAACCTCGCCAGGGCGCTGAGCACTTGTGTTGCCACCCACCTTTTGGGGCTTGTTCCTCCGGGGCGCCCTGGGTGAGCGCTCGTGCCGGGCGCGTCGGGAGCTGCTGGTTCTGGCACGCGCTGGGACCGTGGGGCGCTCRCGGGAGGAGCAGCTCCAGCTCCCTGCGCTCTGGGGTCATGGAAAGCAGTGGGATCCTGGTGGGCTTTTGCTGCAGCTCCGGCATGGTGGGTGAGTCAAAGCTTGGGGGGCTTTGTTGTGCTGTGGTCCCTGCACTTCTGCTCTCAGGCTAAGGAAGGAGAAATCTGCAGAAGTGGTAGCGGGTGCCCAGGAGCCCGGAGCTCCTCTCCTCATCGCGCTACCTGTGCAGGAAGCAGACCTGAGCTGGGCTCAGCAAGGCTTGTGCCTGGTGCGGGTGCAGCTTGCGGACAGCCGTGTGTGCGCGGGCACTAATCTCCTTTATGGGCAGTACAGTCCTGCCCCACAGTGAATCGGCACCAGGCTGGAGCTGGGAGATGGACTTGCTGCGCTGTGTTCGGGTGGCAGGAGTCGCTCGCGGAGTGGCCTGGGCTGGCTCTGGAGCTCCCCGGGCTTTGCTCCCCGGTGCAGCTTTGCTCCCTGGTGCAGCCCTGTCTCCCAGCAGGACAGGACCAAGGAGCCTGCGGTGCTCCCGGGGCGCCGGGCGGCTCTGCGGGAGGCRCTGGGCTGCGTGGGGGGCGGCTGTCCGTGTGGGGCAGGCGCTTGCGGCTGCGGCTCCGAGCGGGCTGCCTCCGTCCTGTGCTGCGCTCCCTCTCAATGAAATGCTCCTGGCACAGCGGGGTGTTTTGCTATTTAAGACTCTGCACGCTGGCCGCTTTTCATGTCGCACTTGCTGCTGTGAAAAGGCTCCCTGGGCTCTGCTCGGTGAGCCGTGATCTCCTGCTCTGCCCGGCACATCTGCGCGCACCCACCTGCCCCTTGGGGCAGCGGCAGCAAACGGGAATGGGGGCTCAGCCCCGAGCCCTGACCYGCTTTGGCTTCCAAGGGCAAAGAGAACAACAGAAAGGGAGCAGTGCTGCTGGTTCATAATGGATGAGGAACCCACGTGGGTTTTGTCTGAGCGCTGCTGGCTCTGCAGGTGCCCCCAGCATCAGCGAGACCAGCCCTCTGGCAGGGCAGAGCAGAGATGGTCAGTGCTGACAGATACGTGAAGTTACATAACAGAGTGACTAGCAGCAGAGCCTCAATCTGTGGCGGGGCAGCGGGTGCCGCTGGGCTGCCCCCAGCACCCTCAATGTGCCCCGTGCAGCAGGCGCTGCTCTCCACCCCGTGCAGGCTGCGGGGCAAACGCCGCAAGGGCAACTCTGCCAAGCGAGCTCGGGTTCTCACTGCTCCCGTCCGCGCCGCTGCTGGGCGCGCCGTGGGGCTGAGGACATGGTCAGGCGCTGCAGGGACCGCTGAGCAGTGGCACCTCCAGAGAGGGGCTGACACTGGGAGCTGCTCTGCGCCGCCTCCTTGCTGGGCCCAGCCCTGGGCCTGCTAAGGCTGGGCTGGTGGCCCGCATGTGCTAGGGGAGCCCTGGGGACGGGCTGGCTCCGCGGGGTTGTGACGCCTCTCTGCCTTGCAGCACCACCATGAGTGCGGGTTCCATGGAGCAGGAGCCGTCGCGCAAGCTGGCCTGCTGCGGGGTGCCCCTCATCACGGAGGACATGCAGTCGCTGGCCATCCGCACCCTCTCGGGCACCGACATCAACAAGCACTACGACCTCATCCGCGAGCTTGGCAAGGGCACCTACGGCAAGGTGGACCTGGTGTCCCACAAGAGCACAGGTGAGGCGAGYGCCGTGGCACATGGAGGAGGGAGCGGCGCTTTGTGCACCCTTGTTGCATGCAGAGGGACTGAACCAGCTTTACTTGTTTACGGGGTTTGGCAGTGACTGAGCACTGGATCAGGTTGTCCAGAAAGGTTGTGGAGTCTCCTTYCTTGGAGATGGTCAAAAACCAGCTGGACTCAGTCCTGGGCAGTGTGCTCTGGGTGACCCTGGGTGACCCAGTGGGGTTGGACTAGGTGATTCCAGAGGCCACCTCCAACCTCGCCTGGGTTTGCTGTGGTTTTCTGAGCTATATGTCAGCTCTGTTCTCAACGGGTGCCTAGCGCAGGTGTCTTCACCCTTCTGTACTGCCCTGGGCATRACCTGGGTGCTGACACCCATGCTGGCCTTCTCTCCACCACAGGCACCAAGATGGCCTTGAAGTTTGTGAACAAGAGCAAGACAAAGCTGAAGAACTTCCTGCGCGAGTTCAGCATCACCAACACGCTCTCCTCCAGCCCCTTCATCATCAAAGTCTTCGACGTGGTCTTCGAGACGGAGGATTGCTACGTCTTTGCTCAGGAGTATGCCCCCGGCGGAGACCTCTTCGACATCATCCCCCCTCAGGTGGGAGCCTCCTGCTCAAGGTGTTTCAGTGTCCCTGGGTGGGCACRAGGATTCGGTGTCCCCACGGTGCAGAGCTCTGCAAGGTGCCAAGCCTGGGCAAGGGGGAAGGGTCCCCGTGTCCCCTGCAAGGCTGCCTTCGTGGTGCCAGGARCCTTTGCAGGAGCTGGTGCCTCCCTTGCATAGTCAGCCCTGACTGGAGCTCCAGACATAGAGAAAGGTCCGTGATCCATAACCATGTCTCCTAGCAGCCTAGCCCCATGGCAGGGCGTGATGGGTATTTCAGGCCAGGAGCCTCTGCTTCCCCTGAAAAACAAGGGGCAGGGAAAGAGGTGATGGGCTGGAAAATTGAGCAAGGGAAAAAGAAATCATACACAGCAAGGAGGAGAGCCACAGAGAGAACATCCCAAAGAAAACCAGGCCTAATTGAATTGGAAGGCTAATGAAATCTTAATGCGAAGGCAACGAAAGGAAATAAGATTATTCAGTATCAGCTGGCAGGGCGGCGCGGGGGGAGGCGGGCGTGGGGGAGCCCGGGACGCCTGTGGTGCAGGGGCCCCCTCCCCATGGTATGTSGCCTGCCCCGTATGGCCCTGGTGCTGCTGGGGGACGTGGTCCCCACACGAGGCCTGTCCCCACCAGTGGCTCAAGGAGCTGCAGAGAGAAATGGGGCTTAAAGAGAGCCCTGAGGTGCCTCCCTGGCGCCTCCTGGCCAGAGCTGAGGGTTGGTGGTCTCGTTGGGTGCCCAASGGCTCGTGGTGGCAGGCGCCTGCTCACGCTGTCCTGTCCCCCACCCGCAGGTGGGGCTCCCTGAGGACATGGTGAAACGGTGCGTGCAGCAGCTGGGCCTGGCCCTGGACTACATGCACAGCAAGAACCTGGTGCACCGCGACATCAAGCCCGAGAACGTGCTGCTCTTCGACCGCGACTGCCGCCGCGTCAAGCTGGCCGACTTCGGCATGACGCGCAAGGTRGGCTGCCGCGTGAAGCGCATCAGCGGCACCATCCCCTACACGGCGCCCGAGGTGTGCCAGGCCGGCCGCGCCGAGGGCTTCACCGTGGACACCAGCATCGACGTGTGGGCTTTCGGGGTGCTCATATTCTGCGTCCTCACCGGCAACTTCCCCTGGGAGGCGGCCTCGGCCTCCGACACCTTCTTTGAGGAGTTTGTGCGGTGGCAGAAGGGGCGCCTGGCGGGCCTGCCCTCGCAGTGGCGCCGCTTCACGGACAGCGCCCTGCGCATGTTCCAGCGCCTGCTGGCGCTYGACCCCGAGAAGCGCTGCCCCGTCAAGGAGGTCTTCTACTTCATCAAGTACGACCTGATGTCCGAGGTGCGCCGGCGGCCCTCCTACCGCTCCCGCAAGCACGCGGGGGACAAGCTGCCCGCCGGCCCCCACCGCCACGAGACGCCCGGCGCCTGCACCCCCACGCCGCTCAAGAGGACCATCCTGACCGAAGGGAGCGGCCCCCGGCTCTCCGGCTCCGAGCCGGGCGCGTCCTCCCCGGGCACGGCGAGCAGGACAGACGGACGGCAGGACAAAGGCAAAGGGCAGATGGTCCTGGCCACAGCAATAGAGATCTGTGTGTGACAGCGACGGGGAGGGCGGCTCGCGGCTCCCTCCCCGCGCGGCTCCGCTCCGCTCTACAGGCGGGTGTGAAGCCAGCTGGTCACTTCACCTGCGCCGCAGGCAGAGGGAGAGCCCAGGGGTTTACGTTTGGTTGTGGTAGGAAAAGGGACTGGGATTCGTGTCACCTGAAGCAAAAAAAAAGCAAAAAAAAAACATATTTTATTAATTGAGAGTTTCACTCAGAAGGAAAC